CAGGATGTGCATAAGCTCATCGAAAGTATCTGCTTCAAACCTTCCCCTTGCCAGTGTGCGGAGAGCACACGTGAGGTTCTCAAGGTTGGCGTGGTGTTCATCCACAAGGTTTCTGAGGACCTCTTTGAGGTCCGGGTCATGGTGCTGGGCCATATTCCAGAAACCTTGGGCACGAGCCCTGTTTGGAAAGCCCGGTCTTTGTTCAGGGCCATACGGCTCCCAGCCGTTGCAGTCCAGGAACACAACTGCGCGGAGAGCACCTGGCATGCTTGGGCGGAGTTCCCGTATGCCCAGATTATACCTTCCCACATCTTTCACCTTCAGGACCTTGGCGATCAGGCACAAGGTGAAAAGGGCCTGGATCACCAGGAAGTCGGTGGGCTCCGGGAAAGGATCCAGCCTCTCACACTCGAGCATCGTCACCCACTTAGGCTCCTGCAAGCCTTCCTCAGTCAACTGGTGAACACCAGCTGCTCGCACTGGGGTGGGAGTTACAGCCCCCAGCACTTTGCACACCACACGCTCCCTCTCTTGAGGGCAGATACTTATCTTCCACACCAGGTTGTCCTGGTGAGGGGCCACCGCCACGATTCTGGACCCCCCAAGGCCCAACACCTGCAGGGGGGTGCTGGTAACACCAGCTTCCCCCCCGCTGTTTGTGTAGGTGACCCGGAGCTCCGGTTTATAGCGCGAGTGATAAGGCTTCACATCCTTGCGCATCTTGACCACAAACTGCATCGTCTGCGCGTAGTCCGCCTTAGGTTGTGGTCCCGTTTCCTGTGCATTCGGGCCTTCTGGTGTCCTCTTCCTTAGGTGTTTCCACCGGTCCTTCAGGGCTGGTTTCCCCTGGGAGCTCCTCTTTCACTTGTGAGGCTGCCTTCATCATGTAATCCTTGGTACTGGCCTCAGCCCTTTGTTTCATTTCCTGGTCGGCACCAGGTATCGTTATTCCCGGCGGGGGCGCCTTGGCTTTGGCAAAACTGAGAGTGCCATCCTCTGTCCTGCTCATCTCCTGGTCAGCACCAGGCGCCGCCATTTGCTCAGGCTCCTTCACCAGCCCTTCTGTCGCAGAACTACTGCTACTGGATTCATCAGAGGATGAGCTGCAGTCCCCTGTGGTTGGGGCCTTTGCTTCCTCCTGTGGCAGGGCCATGCTGACCTCTTCCTCCGTGGTATCCTCCTTGACAGGTGGGAGGTTTTCCCCAGATGGCTCCACCATCTCCTGGTCATCTCCAGGGCTAGGCCCCTTTACTGGGGCCTCGGTGTGCGCCACTGAACCACCAGCTTGCTCAGTGGATGTGGCGCCTGCTGTGTCCTCAGCAGAGCTGCCTCGCTGGCGTTCCTTGGCAGCTGCTCTTACAACCGCCACAAATTTTTCACGTTTGCCAGCATCCTGGACTTCGGCAGACTCCTCCTCACACGTGTAGTACGAGTACTCATCCGCCTCTGGTCTTGACTTGGCTGCCGCCCTGGTTTCAGCTTGAGGCGGCGCCTCCACCAGTGCACCCTTCCTGGCAGGCGGTGGGGGAGGAGGGGTGCTAGCCGCACCCTTGCCCTGGTTAGCACCAGGGTTTTTTCCGTCTCCTTTTCCTTTGGCCTTTCCTTTGCTTCCTGCTGCTGGGTCCTTGGCTTTGCCTTGTGCTTGCCCAGCCCTTTCTCACGGATCACCGAAGCCGGGATGGGAAGGTTTCTCGAGACTTCTCCCTGGGCCCGTTCCCGTTTCCCCGGTCTGTTTTTGTTGTACCACTTTTTATAATCTGTGAGCTCGCGCCGAGCAGGGGTGTTGCCTGGTACCACACCAGGCCCCCCCTTAGAGCCACTGGCCGGCTCAACTGGTATCGCACCAGCTTGGTCTGTGCCCTGGTTTTCACCAGGGTCTTCTGCCTCCATGTCGCGGCCCCCTGACCACTAGCAGGTTGTCACCTGCACTCCTGAGCCGAAACTGCAGTTCAGAACTGGTAAGCCGACACCAGGTCAAAACCTGAGTTTGGTTTGCTTGCCTTCACCCTTCGTTCGGGATTTTGCTTTGGCTTTGGGCTTCGCTTTGGGGCCTACCAAGGACAGGTCCTCCCTAGTCTGCCTTTGTGGCTTCAAAGGACAACTGAACCCAGAGTTCGTAGAGCTAGGGGCCTCGGGCCTTTCACTTGCTACACCAGCAGCACTGGTTGCTGGGGCCCCAAGGCTTTGAGCCACACCCAGGTTAGAACACCTCAGGTTTGGGAGGTTAGGGGGAAGAGGGCTTTGGCTTGAAACAGGCTGCTGGAAGATCCCAGTTTTTGGTGCCGCCTGCTAAATGGCGTCTCTTACCCAAAGGTCTTTGCCCTGGTATCTTTGCCGGCATTCCTTGCCAAAACCAGCACAGAGCTTTTCCTGTGCAACCCACTGTTTAACCCCACACCTGGTACACAACCAGGCCTTGCCTCCATTTACTATGTTGTGAGTGGCATGGGCGGCCATTGCGAAACTCAGGCCCTGAAACAAACAATGGTGATTAACCTCCCTATCGAAGGTAGTAATCGACTCCGTTTGTTGCACATAGAGCCCGCAGGTGCTACACTTGATCGTGAGCTGGTCTCTGGACTGATGCCCAACCACCCAAGTGTGCCCCAAGGCCGGGCTAGCACCGCCAAGCATGGCCTCCATCTGTCGCCTCTTGTTCAGCTTGCCTTCACCAGGTGGAGCCTCCTGGGTTTTTCTTTTCTGCTGCCTTTGGGCCTTAAAAAGCTTCGTCTGCTTGGGCCCTCGACGAAGCTTCTTCTGCGGAGGCTTATTGCCCTCTTTGGAGTCGGGATAAACAACCTGGGGGCCCTCAAGCTGATCATATTGAAACATCGCAGCCGTTCTCTGCGCCAACAGGGCATTCACTCTGATGACCACCTCATCCTCGATGAGGATGCTCTGTTCCCAGGCCAAATCCCTTCTCTCATTGGCTCGGTTTTGCACCAGCCTATCAACCTCCGCATTGGCCTGCCACCTCCATAAGGAGTCAGCTCCAAACTTGCCAATGTATTCCTTCTCAGTGAGATGGCTGTTGATCCAAGTAAGGGAGACCCGATCCATTTCAGCACGAACCGGCTGAAACAAATCCTCCGACTTCCATCTTGGCGGCCTCGCGGCTACTTGCGCGACCCCATTGGCGTCCAAGGTAACTTCAATGTTGCCCTGGACTTTAGCCACCCTCGGGTGGTGGCCCTCCGCCAGCAGCTG